GATGCAGGGAAAAAAAAAGGCAAGGCGCGCGGGATTAGCCGGACTTTTTTTTCCCCCCTCGTCGACAGGGCGCCGTATAATGTCATGATGAATGGCTGTCGTGTCCTCCGTCCCTCGGATCCGCCCTCCTGCCCGTCGTCATTGTTGACGAGGAAAATTTGGCTGTGTGCTGACGGCGGCTTTTCACCGGCCGTCGGAACCCGCATTTGCATTCTCTTTCGTTTCGGCTTGTTGAGACCGGCCTGGTGAGCATCTTCATTCTTGCGGGGGCTATTTCGATTCGGTGCTGAACATTAAGTTAGAGTTATTCACTTAGTTCTAGGGATTTGGGGACTTATGCAATACATCATGACTATCGGTACGTGAATTTTATGAAATATAATATGTATCAACTAATGTACAAAGTGTGAGGACAATAGAGGACTAATGCGTCTAACGGTAATAAATAAAGCTTTTAACAGTACGTGATAATTTGATAGTAAATGAATTTCCGAGTGAACTTTGTTACAGTTGACAAGTAAAAAATGGGTAGAGCAAACTTTTGTTTAGTAGCTTAAGTATCGTATGACAATCATTCATTCGTGATACATCGTACGGAAACAAACTTTTAAGGAGATACGTTTGTAAATTTTTTTTGTAAAAAATAGAAAATAATAGTTAAGGCGAAAGCCTTACGTAAATATATTTACACAAAAAATACATAAAGACATACTTGATAAGTATATTAATTTTACGAAAATGCAGGAACAGTAGACAAGTTTTGGGAGTTTCATTATGTTCAAGTGAAAGGTCCATTTTTTTTATTGCTGACGTTGCTCAAAAAATCAGATGAAGAATGATAAAACTTTCATTAAAAGCTTAATAAAAATTACGGTTGTATTTTGGAATGAATATCAGATGTGATGTAAAAAATTATTTACGTTAAAATGATAGTATATGCTCATGCAATACGAAACCCGTTGGTTATCATCTTAGTATACGATAAACAATCTCTTGCAAAAACACTTACTTAAATCAGCTTATAATTTACACATAATGAAAATAATTACTACTGTATGATGTTGATCTTTGTTTGCTGTCGTCTAATATCCATCTAGTATTATTTTTCCAAAAAGTAAAATTGTATTCTTTGATCTGAAAACTGCTAAAAGGCATTCAATCAACTCACGCTCAAGTCCTTGGATAAGCAAGTTGTATTTATTTTTATGTACTGGCTAGTCACGGAAAATTATTTTCCAAGATAGAAAAACGGTCGGGGTTTTATAAGATATACGTCAACGCTGAGAAGAGCGACAGCACTACTGAAAAAAAAAAAAAAATTACCAGGAACATACGATGGAACGCCCAAACAAATTTCATATTGAAATTCTCCTCGATGCTCAAATTTCAATTTCAATTAGAGCAACGTGGCGCTTGTAATATTTCCTGGTTTAGCATATCGCGATAAAAAACGAGACGCGCGACACGAACATTCGCTTTCGTCGATTAAAAAATAGCCCGCGCGTAATACACCACTCACAACTCGAACCTCGTCTTTTTCACTTCCACCGAAACGCTATCCACCGTGCAAAAAGGATGGATCAAGGAGGCTCAATGTAAAAAAAAA